GGAGCAAAAATTTGAAAACTTGGTATTTTACTGGAAATATGGTATAATAAAAGTATGGAAAGTTTCACTTTAAACAAACAAATACAGCGGTCTGTACCGAACCCGTCCACGAACTTTTCGAACAACCCTCGTATATTACTCTTTTTAGTTCTAAAATTAAATATCATTTACTGAAAATTTAACTAATTGCTAAAGTAAGAATTAAAGCAAAATTATAATTTACCACTATTACTTTTATAGGAGGAAAAATATTTCAACATTTTTTTTTTCATTCTTATGCAAAGATCACCTCTAACATTAGGAGGGATTGTTTCTAACTGTTCTATTTTCAGATGTTTAATTTCCAGAAGAAGCTCCAAAAGAAGTTCTTTCTCAGATTCATCCATTGGAGAAAATCGTAAAGCTTTGGTTTCATTCAGTAATGCAGAACCTCCAAGTCTTCCAATAGCCTGAAAAGATTTGGTTTTCAAAGTAGTTAAAAACACAAGCCATTTGTTTTTGAAAATAAAGGATGACTGCACTTAACGGCGATTTTTGGGTCTTTTTCAATCTCTGTTGTTATGTTCCCCAAACGAAGTTGGGGAACATATTGTTTTTACTCTGTTTCTTATTATTATTATTAAGGTCTTCCGTCTTCAGCGGAAGACCTTACTGTTATTCTTAGGTTTCTTTTCCACTATTTTTAAGGTCTTCCGTCTTCAGCGGAAGACCTTCTTGTTATTCTCAGGTTTCTTTTCCACTATTTTTATTATTATTGTTTTTTTCTTACCGTTTTTGTGCACGCGATTTCTCGGAAACGGCTCAATCGATTTTCATGAAACTTTCAGATCTGATGGAACATCAGGCAAACCTGATACAAAATTTTTTGTTTTGATGACGTCACTTCCGGTTTTGAGATTTTTGCAATTTAGTGTTTTTTAGAGGGTCACTTTGTCCGGCAGTTTTCTCAAAAAGCACTCAACATAGAAGCATGAAATTTTCAGTGATGATAGAGCAACATGTGCTGATGTGACACATACCACTCTTTTTCTCCGGAAGTGCTGCACGACGGCTCGCTATGGCCCGAAAAAAGTCCTATCGCGAATTTCAAAATTTTTGACACCTTTTCTAAAATATCTTTTTACCTGCAAATATTTAGTTAAAACATATAGAACAAAAGAAGTGTAGAGTATCAAGATCTTTCAAATGATATCTCGAAAAAAGGGCTGGCCCTTAAAATTAAGGGCCTAGAGGGGCCGAAAGTTTTTCCTTTATATCTCAAAAAGTATTGAGAATTTGTTATACATCAAAGAAGCAAAGTTGTTTCAAATGTCAAGATCTATCTATTGGAGTCGTCAAAATACGCCCGACGTCGTCACTTCCGGCCAAACCGGAAGTAGTCGGAAAACGCGTTTTTTTGCCGTTCTTGACAAGTTTTTGGGTTACATATGTCTCTGGGAGCATAAAAAGTAATTTTTCCGTCCGTCGTTGTCACTTCCGGTCAAACCGGAAGTAGCAAAAAATGGCTTATTTTGAAGGTTTTGATGCAAAATTAAAATTATAAAGTCACAGGAGACTACTTAGCTCACTGCTTTCTTTTGTTCCGTCACTTCCGGCACTTCCGGTCAAAACCGGATGGAAGACCTACTCGTTGCTTTGCAACGAGCTTTGCTCTAGTTATTATTATTGTTTTTTTTTCTTACCGATTTTGTGCACGCGATTTCTCGGAAACGGCTCGCTCGATTTTCATGAAACTTTCAGGACTGATAGAACATCAAACAAACCTGATATATAATTTTTTGTTTTGATGACGTCACTTCCGGTTTTGAGATTTCCGCGATTTAATGATTTTCAGGGGGTCAGTTTGTCCGCGAGTTTTCTCAAAAATGGTTTAGGATAGAAACTTGAGTTTTTCAGCAATGATAAAGCATTATATGTAGATGTGACATACGTATATCATTTTCACCGGAAGTGCTGCATGCTGACGCTCGCTATGGTCCGAAAAAGAGCATGTCGAGAATTTCAAAATTTCTAACACCTTTTCTTCGATATCTTTTTACCTTCAAATATTTTGGTAAGACATATAGAACAAAAGAAGTGAAGAATCACATGACCTTTCAAACGATATCTCGAAAAAAGGGCTGGCCCCTTAAATTAAGGACCTAGAGGGGCCGAAAGTTTTTCCTTTATATCTCAAAAAGTATTGAGAATTTGTAATATGTCAAAGAAGCAAAGTTGTTCAAAATGTCAAGCTTAATCTACCGGAGTCGTCAAAATAGTCCGGCGTCGTCACTTCCGGCCAAACCGGAAGTAGTCGGAAAACGCGTATATTTGCTGTTCTTGACAAGTTTTTGGATAACATATGTCTTTGGGAGCATAAATATTAATTTTTCGTCCGTCGGCATCACTTTCGGTCAAACCGGAAGTAGCCAAAAATAGCTTTTTTGAAGGTTTTGAATGCAAAATTGAAATTATAAAGTCACTGGAGATGACTCAGCTCATTGCTTTCTTTTTTGATGTCACTTCCTGCACTTCCGGTCAAAACCGGACGAAAGACCTATTCGTTGCTTTGCAACGAGCTTTGCTCTAGTTATTATTATTATTATTATTATTATTCTTTTTTCTTCTTATTTCTTCTCCGGTACTTTTTTGTCCGGAAGTGTTCTCAGAAACTGTTCACCAAACTAAGTTAAAACCTTTTTAGGGTTAGTAGGCATGTTGTGTAGATGTGCAGAACGAAGGTCATTTTGCGCGCATTTGCATGCACGTGCGGGCGCGTACAATGAGTAAAATGACTGATATATTTAACATGGTTGTAACTTTTATATTTTTTGATAAAATGCTTTGAAACTCATTATATAAAGATATATTAGATGTGTAGATAAGATGACATGGTCAAATTTGCAGGAACTCATGCGCATGCAGGTGCGCTTTGCTCTGATTGGCTGAAACAGAAATCTTAATATCTTTTTTGTTTTATGATGAAATGCTTTGAAATTTATAACATAGACATGCATTAGGATGTACTACAATATGATATATAAATTTTTTTCATAAAATCACACGCGTGCACGTGCGCTGCAATCTGATTGGCTGAAACTTTAAATGACTATAACTCCCTTGATTTTCAACCAAACAGCATGAGATTTAGAACATAGATAGACTTAAAGGACTCCTACAAGATAGTATGGTCACCATTCACATGCATGCACGTGCGTGCACATGTGCTTTGCTCTGATTGGCTGAAACAGAAATCTCAATATCTTTTCTGTTTTTTTTACAAAATGCTTTGAAATTTAAAACATAGGCATACTTTAAAATGTCCTACAATATGATATATAATAATTGTCATGAAAACACGCGCATGCACGTGCGCTGCAATCTGATTGGCTTAAACTTTAAATGGCTATAACTCCCTTGTTTTTCAACCAAACAGGATGGGATTAAGAACATAGACAGACATCATTGACTCCTACAAGAAGGTATGGTTATCATGCATGTGCGTGCACGTGCAATGAGTAAAAAGTGTAGACAAAATGATATCCTCATTACTCTCATGCAATCACATGCGCACGCCTGCATTGCTTAAATTTGAAATACTTGGTATACTTATGGGAAAACTTTACGTCTTAAATGCATAGATTTGCCTTCTTTAATGAAACTTACAGGGAATATGGCACGAGAAGGGAGTTGGGGAGCGTTTGGGGAACATCTGTAACGGTTCCCGTTACAATTAGCACTAGTTACATTTATTTTTGTTTTATTTTTGTCTCAAGTCATTTATTATAGAGTTTGGTCTATTTGCAAATGAAATGCAATGTCATAAAGGTTATAAACTGCGTTGCAATGAAATAATTCGTTGTTTCCTTACCCCACCTCTCTGCAAATATCGGGAAATGAGACTTATCTGCCCTTGATTGTAGATAAGATTTATAAATATGCATAAGAGGTGGAGCTAATATTGTGATGAGGTAGTGGTCTAATATTAGAATAGCTACTGTATTTATATTTAGTGCATTTTCTTTCTCTCTCTCTCGTCATATGTTTGTCACTATTATTTTTTAAGTTTTCAAATAAAGTATATATAATTAATAACAAATAACATCGACCGGTAGAAGTAACCATTCTCATTGATAATCAACAGCAATGGCTGATATCAACAATTCGCGTGTTCGAATATAAGTGCCGACTAGCTCAGTCGGTAATGCACAGAATCAATAATATTTAGGTCCGGGATCGAGACCCGATAACAACAATAAGACTGATTTTCTTTTTTCCCTTTTATAAAAAAGAAAAACACCACAATTACTCAATATTTTTTAGTTTCTTTTATAATTACTGTTCCCTATAAATTAGAGTGCTGAGGATGGTATGATTTCAATTTTATTTACTGGCTCTTACTTTGGATGTTCAAGTTAAGCAATGATTCAAAACGTAATAAATAAATCTCTTTTTTCTTGTAGACTACGAACATGTAGAGACATGCATTCAAAAATATATAAGAATAGTAAAAATGAAATGCTTATGAGATAAATATAAGAATAATCTTATAGATATGGAAGAGAAAAAAGTATAGCCCGTGGCTCGATGGGAATGATTGAAACAGATATGAACAATCACTATCGGCAAGCAGAATGCGTGTTTCCTTACACGTCACGTGATGGAATTTTAGTATTCACAGAGTTACCTGGGTATAGAAATGACGTGGTTAATTATAATATTCAGCAGGTAACAACGTGGTCAAAATGGCCTGTATACTATGGAGAAAGTGAACACACGAAGAAACAGTTTTTTCTCTTTTTAACCATCAGTGCATGTTTGTCTATTGATCTCCTTTTAATATGAGGTAATATATATAAATATACAACTTCCATTAAAAGGAGATCAATAGACAAACATGCGCTGACTATGTATTAAGCCTGTAAAAAGATGGGCGTACTCATTATCCTATGGAGATTCCAGAATATGCGATGACCCCTCCCTATAAAAACGACTTCGAACTTCGTTAATACGAACTTTTAATTAACGTAATTACACAAAGTTGCAGTTAAGACATTGACCATTTCTACCATTGAAAGAGAAATGCCCATTTTAAAAATTAATTCTGTCGCAATTTCTAAGTTTCCTTAAGTGCAGTTATCCTTTGTTGTGAAGATCTAGGTACATGCAGTCATGTGTATAAAACGATATTAATGTCATATCTGTTGAAATATAAAGATTCGGTCAAGAGTAAAACATTTGAAAAAAATGTCATACTTTAGGCCAAGGACAGTCAATGGTACACTCAGAAATATCTTGTCACAGCTACTGCACACAAGGATTATCAAAGTCGTTATCAATTTTCCTAGCATCCACCTTTTTAATGTAATTTAACAAGTCTTTTCTCTGTTATTCCGCCGAAATATGGTTGAAATATTGCCGACTCGGCGTTAAGCAATATAAAATCAATCAATCAATCAATCAATCTCTGTTATCAATACTTTTTGTTATTCTTTTATGTTGCTTAAAATAGTTTTCCTACCTCCTCTACATCTGTCCAGCTAGTATTAAATTCATTTGCATTCATTCTTGCATCTGATGAATGGGCCATCTTGTTCCTGTAGAACTTAATTCTTGCTAAGTCGGCCCCAATACTGATATCTAATGGAGTAGGCAGAATATCGAATCCTCCTGCTGGTGCTGGTGTACAGGGACTCATGTTTCGTAGAAGGCAGATTAAAAGCGTAACATCAAAGTCCTTTGACATTGGATTGGGAACTAAAACAATTGAAATTAAAATTTAAAAAATTTAGCTAAAAGAACATGTGAGATATCTAATAAATCTTTTATCATTAAGTTTTAAAATGACTTTGAAAGTGAAATGCAATCACTTTCTGTGAAAAAAAATTGTAATTGTAATTGCAAATTAAATGAAGGGTACACATCTGTTGATATACCTTCAGACCACTTTATCTGCTCATGAACTGCCTATATATACATGTATTTAGACTAATTAATTAATCCAAGATATTATTTTTGATTTATTGAAGTTGAAAGATATTGACAAGAATATGTTTAAACACTTTTTAAATATTATCTAGAATATACCTCCGAAAAGTTTGTCCCACTGAACCTTGTTTATTACTTGTCTAGCTTTCAAGCTTGACAGCATAGGTCTCTGTGTTGCCAGGTCAGTAGCAAGATTGCTTGGAAGATGAACTGTATCAAAATGGATCCTTAGGGCTTTTCGTGCTCTCCTCAAGACTAGATTGACAAATCGTAGAAAGTTGGTTTCTTCTGGTGACACAGTAGGCGTGGTTCCTGAGACCGGAGCTCCACTACACAGAGGTACAGAAGGAGTAGATGACGCCATGATGAAGTGATGCTTGGGTTGATGTTGTTTAATATCTGTTGTCACTTTGTTATAATTATGTAGTTGAGGAGTGCCCAGATAGTAACATCACATTTTCTAAAAATGAAAAAAAATGTCGAATAAAAGCATATAGTTATCTCAATGTAAAGTTTTAACTTATACGGATTATGCAATTCATAATCTTATCAAAATTTGTTTAATATGTATTTTCCCATTAAGAAAAGTTTCTTTCGTATAACAAAAATCATTTTCCACCTTTGCATGACGTCTAAATTTGGATATATCTACATTTTGAACCACTGTCACATATTCCTTTCCTTTAATAATTATTGTATTGAAAAGACAATATGTGTCCAAAATTCCTTCAGCTGGTTTATTAGAGCACAACCCGTTGAAAAGATTTTTTAAATGCCTCATGTCCTTCTCCTTTAAGATCCTTTTTTTTATTTTGAATGCGTGATTGTAAAGGCCTACGTGTATTACAATGATAGCATTTAAAAACAAGGTCAAGGTAAACAGCAGTCTGCTGATATAAAAAAAAAAACCAGATAACATGACAAATAACATGCAAATACATCAATAGAGTTGCTTTTAAGGAACTTAAGGCATTTTGCAAACTGAATATTACTTACATGTAATACTCTAAATTCCAAATAATTATAAAAATCAGTCTTCGTAACAGACCTGTCAATGACTGTTATTTTTCAT